TTTTCAATTTTTTTTATACTACGGAAACTTCTTAAAGGGACCGAATAGTTAAAGCTAAAAGAATTTTTTTATGGAAGTTTAATACACGGTGCTAATTATATTGAATGGGTGGAAAACAAGACAATATTAAAGTTGAAAAATCAAATAAAAATTATGTGCGCCATCATATATTTATAAAATAATGGCTATGTAATTGTAATGCGTAAATTATTTATGAAAAATTCTTTTAACTATATTTTAATGTAAAATTCATAGAATGCTTACATAAAACTGTTAATTCATTTCTTTGGTTTAGCAGAACTTTATTTTTAGAAAACTTTATAATATGCAGCTTTTCTTGTAAACACAGGAGACATAGGTGAGATAAAGATTTACAGATTCTCCTTTTTAGGTAATTCTATGTCTACTTCATATATGTGTGTGTATGTGCCTGTGTGTGTGTACGAGTTTGGTTGTGTAATATTTGCCCGCATGTTTTACGGTATACAACTGTTTATGCGTTTTGTCTATAATGTTGAACATTGTTTGATCGATTGTTTGATATATTTTCGACGGCTTATCAACTTTTTGCTGTTATTTAAAGCTAGACTACTTTTTAGATTCTACTTATTGGGTGGGGGGTCATAATAAAGATTTACTCTTACGTCTTACTATTTAATCCATAGCTGAGGGAGAAAAGTAAGATTCATACCTTTCGCAAGCCTATTTGCGTGTAACTTAATATCGCGAACAGAACTGGAATTGAACTCATCTCTCCGATGAACTATTCCGCGCCATTATCCATTAGATCACCCGCACATCCAAGCTTAAAGCACCTGTTTTTTTCCAAACGGTTACCTGTACTGATGCTGCTTAATTCGGTGAACATACGGGAACCGGTGTTTCAAATTCATATGGCTGTAAGTCTATTCAACATTAAAGATTAACCCTAGAATTCTAACCATGGGTATATAGTACCCAGCGCAAATTTTCATATTTTTAATCACAATGCACATTACCTGATTTTTCTTACCTAAATAATATGTTTTTCGGTTCATATTAATGTTAACTCAAAGTACAAAGTTTGAAGTGGCTGCATGTAAAATATTTCAAATAAAGATTTATATTTAATATGTTTTTGATATTTTCAAATTCGGGTATGATATACCCATTGTTAGTAGGGGTGTAACTTTAATTGACGCTTAGTGTTCTAGGGTTAAATTAATTCGACTGCTTTTAACTTACTAAAACATTCCTCTCTTCATTTTTCTCCGCATAATGGATGGATTTACTTGTTGTTTTGCTACAAATAAATTCAATTTCCCTCTTCCAATAATAAATTACTTTAATTCTTTCGAAATCACGTTTTCTTTGAAAATTGTCGCATCATTTTATCGATTCATTTTACACCTGAATACATGACGTCATTTTTTAGATATGCGTGACTCGACATTGATCAGTAATAAACCAGCTAATCTAGTACACCGTTGAAGTAGTAAGGAATTAGATTCTCACTTGAAACTGTCAATATGATCTTGAGCAATGTTACCAGATTACTTGGCTGTATTGATCTGGTGTTGAGCTATATCTAATATCGTTAGCACTACATCTAGGGTCCGTTCGATCTTCATTAGGTTATATGGACATTTACCTTGGTAGTAGGCTAAGACATGTTCTATTTCTGGCCAACTACTTGTTGAGTACCGTGGAGCAAGCTAGTTTTGGAAAACATTTCTAATTCAACACGTTCTATACTCAATGGATACAATACTGAGGAACGTAGTTCTAAATTAAGATTATCCGTTACGCTGTATTCTATTTTAAAGCAAAGGATAAATTTCTGAAATGTTATTGCTTTATTATTTAGTATGAAGCTAAACAAGTTAATTATATTATTTTATGTTATGTCAAGCTAAATTTGAGCAACAAAGCATTAGTCTATTAATAACTAGCTTAAAAGCCTCCCTATCGAGCGTCATTTCAGCTGGCCCCCACGGAGCGCACTTGATTGGGTTTTCGGCTTATTCAGGAGTTTGATAGTCCTTAATTCTTTGTATATTCTCAGCATTGAATGCACCCCCCACTGGTTGCCGTTTGATCCGGGTTTTCATTTGCATAGAATTTTCTTTTCATCGCTGAAGCCTTGGCTCTTTTGATTGCAATCTGGTCCTCTGTTGGCAGAGATTTCTTTTTGCGAAGCATACTGTTGCCGTACGCGATAGGCAACAAGAAACTACAGAAGAACTCAAATTTCATCGCTTCAGGTAAGATTGCATTAATATTTAAGCTTACCTTTTAAAAGATCAACGATAATTCTTCTGCCGCCACTTAATTTAAAGACTGTTTGATGTACGTAGGTCCTTACTTTCGGTACAAAAATCATTTTTTATTTCATGGGTTACTTTTGATGGATTTCGCAATTGATTTCACTTATTCCCATTTTTATTTCTAAGTTAAAGGAATGATTATTTCTAAGTTAAAGGAATGATTATCGTACAAAAATTTCGCCGCAGAAAATCACATAAAAATCATTGAAAAAAATCGCATTTATAAAAACTTTGGAATCCCAAATTTCAAGATTTGCGGGTCTGGATCCGGCCCGGAATTTTTTTTAATTTGCTCAAGGAGTCGGCCCAATTCTAAAATGGTATGATATGTTGGGTTACAGCCTCTAGGACTAAAGTTGAAAAAGTGTGACACACTGACTTTCGCATTTATTTAAATAGATGTAATAAAAGGAGCCTTGTCTTGAACTGCTATTTGGAGTCAAACTCTCCCCGCATATATTCAATCTATTAGTAAAGATTCTGAAAACATTGTTATTTATTATTTATTATTGTTTATCAGACCGTTCGAGAATCTGACACACTACCTCGCTGTTCGAAAAATGGGATTTCGACTGCCATATCTGGGCTCGAGCTTCCCATTCCTAACTTGCGTGTATTGATAGAGTTCAAAAATATCTACGCAGCCTTGATGGTGATGAATTGTTTTCAACCATACCATAAAACCCATTTCCGACACATTAAATGATGCGAGCCTCTCCCTGATAAGTCCTTAATTCCATGGCACGTGTTCGGAAGAGCTACATTCCTTAGCACCGCCACCAATGAGCTTTTCAACTTGAATCCGCCCTGCCATATACACATGGGGCAATTATCCACGTTCCATTCGTATTTCTATAAAAAGTTCAATTCGGACACATCTTTCCCAAGAACAAAATCCCGGCAGCATGGTTCCCCAATCACAATCTTGTTCGCTTGAAGTTAACCGTTATATTTCCTACATACCTCCATGAAGTTATTTCTTCCTTTTTAGAAAAAAAATTCAAGGATGAAATGTTTGAACTGTTAAATAAGAAATAGTTTGTTACATATGTATTTATGTTTAAAATTATGTTGTTACATATGTATTTATGTATAAAATGAGCTTTAGAAAGCTCATACAACACTAAACAGTAACCCACTACATTGAATGGCTCTTGGGCCTTGTATTGGTGATACATTAGTATAAAAAAAACTTTCTGTACTCATGAAGTGTCTCATAGATATACTAACTTGTATGCTTTTAACAGTGACATGGATTCTAATTTCAGAGACATTTACTAAAAATGTACTTTCATTTCTTTGTGGAAATGAATCTGGCGCGCGTGTGTCTGTGAGTCTATGTATAGGTGCATGCAGTGTGTCTGTATGTGTACGTCTGTCTCTTCGTCTCCATATTTTTTTTATATCTGTGAATTTGCAGGTGTCTGTGCATTTAAATCTCTCTCTCTATCTATCTATCTATCTATCTATCTATCTATCTATATATATATATATATATATATATATATATATATATAGGGAGGGAAAGAGAGTGGGAGAAAGGGGGAAGAAGGAGACATGAAAATTATGAAAAGAAGCAAGAACTATGGGCACACATACACACGCAAAGTAAAATACACAGAAGAAAAATCAACCTAACACCAATAAAACGAGCATAATTTTTTAACTTTATATAAAAATAAAAAATCTAAAATCGGCAGTCAATTGCTGATAACTCCTGACGAGTGGACCAAGTGATTACAAAAATGCTTCGTCTCATAAAATCAGGAATCGTAGTACTGATTATAACATCAAGAAGCCAAGTGACAAATTTTATATTTGTATTAATCCGATTACACTATCTTTGTTATCGCTATTATACATATATATGTGTGTGTGTGTGCGCGTGTGTGTGTGTGTGTGTGCGTGTGCGTATTTAGGCAGTAATCCTTCTTTGATGCACATGTCATTGAAGACGACCGACAAGGGGCTTTGATTTAGTTTTTTATACAATTTCTCATGTGATCTAATAATTTTGTCTCTTCAGATGACAAATTATAAAAACTGTCCGAACGTTCTTTTTTTCGAGTGCTTTCGGCTATATATTTAGCGATTTTCAATTCATTAATGGTCATTTTTTAAATGCCCATTAAGGAATTGTATTCTTGATCACTCAAAATTCGTAAATAATTATATAGGACATACTACAACATGTTTGACACGCAGACTCCCTCTACACTTTTCTGACCATAGCTCAATTAGATCTCATTTAAATATTCATAGAGACCTACAAACCCTATTCGCAACATATTTATTGACAACACAGATATAATAGCAATGATGCTATTATATTTGTTATTTGTGTTTGTAGATGCAAATGGCTAACAATAATGGAAGCCTTATTAATAAAACCCCCACAAAACACTCAATATTATCAACTATGAACATAATATCTTGACTTTGTTTTGAAAAATGAAAACATAAATACATATGTAACAAACTATTTCTTATTTAACAGTTCAAACATTTCATCCTTGATAATGGCAAAATGTATAGCCGAAAGCGCTCCGAAAAAAAAAAGAATATTCTGACTGTTTTTATATAATTATAATTATATCATCTGAAAAGAAAAAAATATTATATCTCATGAGAAATTGTATAAAAACTAAATCAAAGCACCTTGTCCGTCAATGAAATATGCATGTATATATTTACATATATATATATATAGATAGATATATAGATAGATAGATAGATAGATAGATAGATAGATAGATAGAAGTGTTTGTTAGTTGATCCAGTATAAACATTTTCGCGTGCGTATATATATTAGTAGGTGCATGTGTATTTATTGAGTGTAACTTCATCTGTACGTCTCTTGATGTTTGTGTAGGTGAAATCATGTCTGAGTTGGTTTGCAATTTGACAGCATTATTGGATTTCGTTAAGTGTATACCTGCGTAAGGATTGCTCATGCGTGTGTGCGTGCATATATGTGTGCGTGTATGTTTGTCCGTATGTTCAAACATTATCGCATCGGCATTTTAACATGTGTGCGTCTCTATTACTTGTCTTTTGTTGGAGTATTTGGAAAAATGTATATGCCGTAGAACGCGTGCCGCTTGGAAATTCTTGAACCACGCCCAAAACGTTAACCAAATGACGAAGCATAAGATCTTTTGTTTTGTTTTTTGTTTTTTTTATGTTTTGTTTTTTTTTTTTTTTTTTTTTTCTTTTGTTTTGTTTTCTTTCTTTTTTTTCTTTTGTTTGTTTTTTTTGTTTTTTGAAAAAAAATCTTTCTTCGTTGGACCCACAACTTTTCACTACAGCTCGATTATGTGCCGGTTGCTTTATGACTCGTGTATGTATATGCGTTCGTACGTCGTGTCTGTAGACGCGTGTGTTTCTATCTATGTATTGGTCTCTCAGCGAGTATGTGTGTATGTCTACGCTTTTTGGTGGGTTGAAAGAGTTCATTTGGGAGAGATAGAGAGAGAGATAAGGAGAGAGAGAGAGAGAGATAGGGAGTGTGTGTGTGTGTGTGTGTGTGTGTGTGTGTGTGTGTGATGGAATGATTTGGAAATTAGTAAATCTATCCGTTATTTTCTTGACTTGTCTCAGACGTGAAACGCATTTTGGACGACTTTAAAACTGATTGGGTGTCTCAGTCTATAAAATAATCAATGGATTACATTCAATGGTCAAAGTTTCAAACTATGAGACACGCACACACTCATACAAATATTCAGGAGTATACACATATGTATATACATTTATAAGTCTACAGCAGTAAAGTAATAGAATAAGGCAGAGTTCACTGCCCATTTCTAGTGTAGTACGTTCAATACTGAGAGGTTCCAACTATATTATAGATTGTATCTATTGAGTAGAGTAAACGCAGACATATAGACACAGAATGGTGGACTGACAATTGCGTGCCTGGACATTTGCGTCCTGAGACAAATACGTTCCTGAATAATTGCGTAACTCTAATAATTTGTTGAAGTTTCTCTTGTTTTTAAATAGTTGTTTAGTTACTCTAAACAAGCAGAAAGGTTCTTCCCATAAATAAAAATTACGGAAATGTTTCTTTTTTAAAGCAAGAGAAAATTAACCGAGAAGATTCACTTCACTCCAAAGTGCGTACCACAAAAATCTAACAGATTCTGGATTTTAGGGATTATATTTTTATTTCGAATCCGAAAATGAAACATTGGTGGAAAAATATATCAAGAAAAACGCCGTCGAAACCAATACATACCGGCGATGTGTAGAGCGATCTTGCAACACTGTTAATCTGTCATTGCGGTTTGAACAAAAATAAAGTTTTATTTTATTTTATATTATTACTTTTATAAAGATTGATGATTACTACCTATGCTTTTTCAAAATTTCTGGTAGTTGCTTTTAAAAGCTTGAAATATTATCAAAGGTATGCAATTATCTAGGGGCGCAATCGTCTGGTAAGCAATTATCCAGGACGCAAATGTCCAGTAAGCAACTGCACTAGAACGACACGGAGTATATAAGTTATATTTGGAGTTGACCAATTGCCACTTTGTCGATTTAACCATGTCCAAATGCGGTATTGCTGATGTACTGCTGACTGTTTGGGAATATCAGGCGCTGTAAGTTTCGATGTGCTGGTGATGTAAATGGACAATTGATTAGAATTTATAATCGGAGAGCTGAGTTTCAATTTCAGTTGTGTTCGTCATATTCTTTGACGTGCAAATATCATTGGGAAAGGTATTAATCACCCTATCCTCCCACAAGCTATGGGATAATTATTAAGACTTGCATTAATAAACCATTATTATCCCCCAAAAATCTAAAAAAATAATATTTCCTGGCTTTAATTAACCTGAAAATGATTCATAAGTCGTAAAAACAAATCGATAAAATGATCTACTCTTGTAATTTTAGTTTATTAATAAAGTTTATCATTTGCATTTTTTTCTTGATGCGATCAGGGAAAATATTCGGAAAAAAAACCCACAAAGAAATACTAGGCAAAAAGAAGTAACACACACACTCTCAGACAATGAAAAGAGTTTCCTTCCGAAGTAGTCTAGCTCTATAACAACTTTCCCAGAGGCAGCTTGCTAGCCCCTCTGCAATATTGCTATTTTCATGGCAATTGTTCAGACGAGCTCTGGCCGTTAACTTCATCAATCCAAACCTTCATATCTAGAACACTCCGTCTCCCTTACACAGATTCGACTCATCCTCATTCACCTGGTATTCCACTGGTAAGCAGTAATTCTATTCATTCAACTTCCTCCTGTTCCTTATGGCGACATTAAATTGAAGCACTGGTTCCTGTACCGAAGTTAAGCAACGTAGAGTCAGTACCTAGATGGCAACCGCTTGGGAATACCAGGTGATATAAGCTTGTATGTTCCGGTTGTATAATGTATAATGACCCGTGATTGTTAATCAGAGAGTTGAGTGCTAATTTTAATTCGTGAAGGTGTCATTTTCCACCTTCAAGTTTTGAAATTCTATGAACTTCAGTAGCCATCGTATCCTCTAGACATCTCTCCTTAAGACTTTCATTTATTCCGGTCTCTACAGAACAATTAAAATAAGAAATTTGACTATTTACAGTCAGTTGAAAACTACCTCACCCCCTCTCTCTCTCTCTATTTTTCTCTCTCTCTAAACACATACACCCACACACAAACACACACACGCGCACAAACGCACACACAGAGACAAAGTGAGAGCGGGAGAGGGGGAAGAAGGAAAAGAGTAGTAGGAGAGTATAAGGAGACATGAAAATTATGAAACGAAGCAAGAATTACGAGATTAGTACAGGTGTACTCACACACACACTCACACACAAACGTGTTCACGCTTATGCTCGGGTGTGTACGCGCTCACACACAGAGACACACAGACACACACACACACACACACACACACACACACACACAGACATACACACACAGAGTCAAACACACAAGGAAATCAACCTAATACCAATAAAACGAACATATTTTTTTTACTTTATAAAACAATAACGAAAATCTAAACTCGGCAGTCAATTGCGGATAACTCCTGACGAGTGGACCGAGCTATTACAAAAAAACTTCGTCTTCGAAAATCAGGAATCGTAGTACTGATTATAACATCAAGCAGCCAAGTGACAAATTTTATATTTGTATTAATCCGATTAATGGTCTATGTCTAGCACTGGCAGAATTTTCGGCGTTACACTATCTTTGTTATCATATATATATATATATATATATATATATATATATATATATATATATATATATAACAGATCGAAAATTGCGTGTGCGATGGCAATAAGATATATTTCAAACTGTGCGAGGCTTAGTTTAAATGGTGTAAATATAAGATTGTTAAACTGTTTCATAGAAAATGTCACAAATGTACGTGTTTACATTATTATAAATACAATGTGCATTTTCTGTGTGCGTGTATATCTGTCTATATATATATAGCAGTGCGTGTGTGTGTGTGTTTAAATAGATTCTAAACACTAATAACATGGTAAGAGCTTATATCTTGGATATCAAATGAACTGACTCAAATTTGGCAGCGTTAAAAAATGTTCATATGAATACAACATGCGCACACTTATATCAACCTCTATACAAGCAGGACTATAAATGTCATACAATGATAGATATGAAATGCTTTTTTTTTTCATTAGTTTTTTTTACTTACTTTTTTTTCATTACTATTTCGTGTCGAATGAATGTGTCCTCGTCACCAGACGATACAGCACAGGTGTTATAAATTATGATCACAGCGGGTACATCTGAAAATAAAGAATAATGTCTCGTAGTATACAATAGATTTTCAACAAATTAATCTTTGGTGAATGCAGAGATCTAAGAAAACTGAACACGCTAGAATTGTCTAGAATGTCTTGCCTTGAGAAGTATTTTATTTATGGGAAGCAAGACATTATCCAAACAACTCGAAGAAAATAAATTTACTTATTGAATTTTGTTTCAAAACAAAGTAAAATCATTCGACGGTTTAACTCCCAGGTTTTCAGTTTTGAGAAATATATTTTTTGATTTTTAAATAAAAATTCCACTCGTAACAATGTAAGTAATGTAAATATATATCAGTGAGTATATATATATATATATATATAGCAATGAGTGTACGTGAGAGATTCATGGAAGATTGAAGTTTAAATACAGTAAATTCGACCTTGCTAACCGAATGAGCCCTGTGGCCAAAATCGGTAAAGGCACGTCAAGCTAAATGGCGGTTCCGTATAGGATACAGGTTTTCTGTGAAAATTTCTCGGACATTCAGGCCGGTAAATGTCGTTTAATACTGTTCATTATAAACAGAGCATTTACTTAAATATTTGTATCTATAAAAAGAAAGTATAAACATAAAATGTCTTAATATACATACATATATATATATATATATATATATATATATATATATATATATGTTAAGAAATACTTTCAGTCAGTTATGTGACATGCTTGATACACGCTTAGGCGTTCATGTATCTTCCGACTAGGCAGATATTTTCCCGCAGTAGGTTGCCATTTCTTTCTGCGGTATACCTGTTGCCAAGTCGGTCTGTCCTGCTATTTACCCATAGCTGGAGGGAGAAGAAGAGAATTCATAGCAATGGATTATAGCACGCACATGAAAGTAATGGATTCAAGCCGTTATCCACCGTGCCTCCTAAGAAATCCTTTAGT